CTGGTGGAAAGGCCTTGGACCGCAGGTGTGGCATGGGGAGGGAGAGGAAGAGGAGGAGGAGAAGGGAGTGGGTGACACATGATACCCCTGCCCTGAGCACTGGGCACCATGCTAAACGGTGCCCGCATGACTTCTTTTACACAAATGCAATCTTTCTTGACCTCAAAGGAACCTAGAGATCAAAGCATTCCATCTCCAGCACTCGATGCCATCTTCAGATGGAAGAGCTCAATTCCTCCCAGCCTAAGAGTAGGCTAAATGTCACGATCTGCTGCCAAAGGGTAGAACAGATGAAGAAGAAGAGGAGGAGGAGGAGGAGGAGGAGGAGGAGGAGGAGGAAGAAGAAGAAGAAGAAAAAAGCAGTGACCTGGAAGATGTTACCACCCCCAGGCTGACATCACTAGCGAAACCCATCACAGTCAAGAACAGAGGAGTGGGCCGGGGATTTAGCTCAGTGGTTCCTCCTCCTGCCTCGCAAGCGCAAGGACCTGAGTTCGATCCCTGGTACCAAAAAACAGGAAAAAAAAAAAAGAAAAAACAAGAGGAAAAGATGGAGAGATCCTTGCAGGCCAAGGGAACTATTAAAGAGAACGGAGGGTCCTGAATTGGCTCTAACGAGAAACAAAAGCAAAGCACACGAAATCAAAGCACAACCTGAAGCTGGGTAACGGCACTGAACAAATGTTGGCGCTTAAACTAAGACCAGAGGCCAAATAATATGCCATTGAATAATCAGTGGATCCCAGAAGAAACCAGGGGAGAAATTTAAAAAAAAGCTTCCTAGAACGAAGTGATAACAGGAGCCCAAGACACCAATTTCTCCTGGGCCCAGTGAAAGCAGGCAGACAGGGAAGGTGAAGGCTGCAGGCGCCACATGGAAAGCACAGAGTTTCTCAAATAGAGAAACCTCTGATGCACCTCGAGGCCCTAGAGAGACAAGAACAACCCAAATCTGAAACTAACAGGAGGAGAGTTGATAGATCAAAGTGGAAATCAGTGAAATTGAGATGAAAAACAAAATAGAAGGGTTGAATGAATCAGAGCTGGCTCTCTGAAGGTATGGGAAGGGGACCTGGAGATAGGGGAAGAAGTAAAAGGATGAGGATGCTAGTTTCCAGCCAGGTGTGGGGACCCATGCCTGTCATCTCAGCACTTAGGAGGCTGAGACAGGAGGATCGCCTTGAGTTTGAGGCCAGCCGGGGCTACATAGTGAGACTCTGTCTCAAAAGACCAAACAAAGATACCAGTTCCCCATGATGCATGTACCTACTATGCATTGCAAAGATATGCTAATAAAAATGCTTTAAAAGATAACTTTTGAAAAGATAAAATCAAATATAAGAAAGATTTTTTTGTTTTGTTTTTTTGAGGCAGGGTCTCCCTTTGTAGTTCTGGTTGGCCCTGAGCTCACTATGAAGCCCAGGCTGCTACCTCAGCCTCCTCCTGAGCGCTGGGGCTCCAGGTGTGCGCCACCACGCCCGGCTAAAAAAGATTTTAATATGTGGAGAAGCTGGGTAGGGGGGCTCCTTTCTCTGCACTTTTCTGTAAACCTGAAATTCAAAGTGTGTTTCAGGGCCAGGGATTTAGCTCAGTGGTTCCACCACCTGCCTCGCAAGTGCAAGGACCTGAGTTCGATCCCCGATACCAAAAACAACAACCACAACAAAAAGTGTGTTTCAGAAAAATTAAATGACATCCTGTGGCAGTGAATTGGCCATGAGGGGCTCAGGCTCTGAGTGGGAACCCTTACTTGGGTGAGAACTTCTCACTGGGTGTGGGGGCAGCACCTACTTGGGAGACTGAGGCAGTAAGATCAGACTGCTCAGGCCTGAGTTTGAGGTCAGCTTGGGCAGCGCAGCAAGACCATGTCTCCAAAAAGAAGAAGAAAAAAAAAATCAATGGGCCTGAGTTTCCTTATCTCGAAGGACAGAAGTATTGGCCAGAGCCATTGTTCTTATTTGAAGGAAGACTTCCGGGATTGTGAGGGACAATTCCGGAAGCAAGAACCCTTGTCCACCACACTGAGCGTGTGAGGCCGTGTTGGTCGGTGGCAGACTGTGGTCAGCCGCCCCGGGCTGCCTTGCTTGCTGCTGGATGAGCCAAAGAGCCTGAAGCAAATATGTACAGAGGCTGAAGTTCTGCCCAGTACCCGCAAACTGCTCCGGTGAGACCTGGAGCACACACTCTTGTGCCTGTGTCCCAGAACATGAGTCCTCAGCCCTGTACATTTTGGAGGGTGGGTGGGTACCGGGGATCGAACTCAGGACCTTGCACTTGTGAGGCAGGCGGCAGAACCACTAAGCTAAATCCCTGGTGCCTGCCCTGTACAATTTTTAAAAATAACTCTTAGCTTGCAGGCCATACCCAAACCAAATAAAAAGCTCAGTAGTGGGCTGGACTGGTCCCTATGTGCTCCTCGGGGGTGCTTCAAAAAGGTTTAAAGGGGCTGGGTGTGGTGGTACATGCCTGTAATCAATCCCAACGCTCAGGAGGCTCAGGAGGCTGAGGCAGGAGGACTGCCGTGAGTTCAAGGCCAGCCTGGGCTACGTGGTGAGAATCTGGTTTAACAACAACAACAACAACAAAAAAAAAACATTTAAGGGAATGGCAGGTGCCTGGACTGAAAACCGGAGCCTGGGTCAGAAGGGTCCCAATCAGGGATGACCTCTGGTCCTGGGCCACAAGGCCAGAGATGCCACTGGACACCCAGTACACTGCGATTCAGTGCTCAGGATCTGCCCAAGGCCAGGACTCCCCAGCCCCAGGGGGCAGCAGCGCCAAGCCGGAAGCCTGGCCTGTGGAGCTGCAAGCTCTTGGCAAACTCCAGTGCTGTACAGCTCACTGGGGATCTTCTTCTAAAACGCAAATTTGTGAGTGTGTGTGTGTGTGTGTGTGTGTGTGTGTGTGTGTGTGTGTGTGTGTGCGTGTGTGGTGCTAAACCATATCCTCAGCCCTTTTCACTTGGAGTCTCAAAAGTTGTTCAGGCTTGTCTTGAACTCTTGATCCTCCTGCCTCAGCCTCTGGAGAGTGCTGGGATTACAGGCGTGAGACCCCAGGTCCAGCAAGTTCCGGATGCATCTAGAATGGGGCCTGGGGCTGAGCATTTCTGCATCTCTAAAGCCAAGGGTAATGGTGAGGCTACAGGTTCTGGTACCATATGGACTCACAGACCCTGTGAGGACAGGAAGATGGGGTTTAAAGACCTCAGGCTCTTCTTCTTCTTCTTTTTTTTTTTTTTTTGAGACAGGGTCTCACTATGTAGCTGAGACTGACCTGGAAGTCACTATGTAGTCCAGGCTGGTCTGGAACTCACAGCGATCCTCCTGCTTCAGCCTCCCGAGTGCTGGGATTACAGGCATGCACCACCATGCCCAGCGACCACAGGCTCTTTTCAAGGAGCAGGGAGAGAAATAAAAATCCACTGGTAAGTGAGGAGTCAGCCGCGAGGCTAAGAGGCGAGGGTTTCGCTCCAATGGGTGTTGTTGGAACAGACACTCGGGTGGGGGCAGGCTCTGGGACAGGCTCAGCGTGTGCAGCCCTGGGTCCCAGTTTCTGGTTCTCCCTCCCTGCTGCCAGCCGACTCCCGCCTGTGGCTGGAATCCAAAGCCCAGGGCAGACCCAGCAAGCCTCAGCCCTGCAGGCGACAAAGGAACGGAAGCTCCCTGTTGCTGAGCTCCTGGACTTTGAGGGACCTCACAACTCTGTTAGAGACTCTGCTCTCCCTGCAAGGACATCTAAGCCACCTTGGCAAGGTGCCACCTCACTGGGGCAATTCATCCCCTGGTGGGGACCTCTGGCGATATCTTGAAACTCTTTCTGCAGTCCTGAGCCTTGAACCCAGGGCCTTGGGCATGCTAGGCAAGGAGTCTACTACTGAGCTATGTCCCCAGCCCATGTTACTTTATGATTTTATTTTATTTATGATAAGGTCTAGCTAAATTTCACCGGCCGGCCCCAAACTTGTAATCTTCCTGCCTCAGCCTCCCCCGAGTGGCTGGCATGACAGGTGGGCACCACCACGCCCAGCTTCTCCGTCCAGTTTCTGAGCAGAGACCCTGGTTACCGGTACCCCACAATCTGGGGGTTAGGAATTCCCTTGTTAACGACGAAAGGGCCCCCCTCGTTCACAGGTTGTCGGCCTAACCTCCCTCCCCAGGCGTCCGCAGGTGATCTTATTTGGTTTTTTGTTTTTCGCTTTTTTTTTTTTTTTTTTTTTAGACAGGGTCTCACTATGTAGTGAGACTGACCTGGAACTCACTGTGTAGCCCAGGCTGGTCTCGAACTCCCAGCGATCCTCCTGCCTTAGCCTCCCAAGTGCTGGGATGACAGGTGGGAGCCACCATGCCCGGCTAGGTGATCTTATTTGCAAATGCAGTTGTGGCACACGCATGGAGAGCTGAGACCACACCGGGGTAGCGTGGCCCTGAGCCAACAGGACCAGGTCCTGGCAGGGCTAAAAGTCCAGACATAAGGAGGTGTCGCGGCCCGAGACCACCCAAATGCCTCTGTCCGTGGTCACCTAACCCTGCTTCCCTCCAGAAAGCCCGAGAAAGCTGTCCATGCAGGGGAAGAGGAAACACAGCGGACCCCCGAGTCATGAGCAGCCTGACATACAAATGACTTGGGTTATGACCAGAAGGCCACCTTTGGTGGTACAACGTCTCGAGTTACGACCCAAATGCCGGCCGCCTGTGCTTCCAGATGGCCTCAGATAAAGACCTGACCCGTAAAGAGTTCTGGAAAGAACATTGCCACATCCTTTTCCTGTGTGGGGTTCACCGAGAAAACCTGGGCCAGTGTCTCTCTGAGGACCCTGAGACCGGCCTGTGTACAGCAGAGAGACGTTGAAGGCTGGGTAGACGAGCCTGCGCCTTCACGACCAGCTTGAGTTACGACCAGCTTGAGTTACAACCAGCCCTCCAGAACCAACTGGGTTCGTGCAAAGGAGGCTGAGGCGGCAAAGAAGAGGGAGGGTGGGTGGATTGGGGTGCGGGACTCACCGGGACTCAGGAGCGGCTTGCTGCACAGCGGGCAGCTGGAGTGGCCGGCGAAGGTCCCCCGCACCAGCTGGTGCCCGCTGGTGCATTCCCACTTCTCCCTGCTGTCCGGAGCCTTGTCCTTCAGCTGCGCTGGGCTCTTTCCCTGCAGGGACGGGCTGGGCGTCAGGCGCCTTCTGCCCTCTCCCGCCCTGTGCACCGGCCCCGGCAGAGCTGGAGGCAGAAGTGGGGGCCCCGTCCCCTCCCGGCCGGCCCCTGACCTTCTCCTTCTGCCTGGTGACCCGGCTGCGGAGGGAGCTCAGACTCCGCTTCACCCTGGTGCTCCTGGTGCTCTTCTCACTCTTGGAGGCACAGTCCTCGCTCCTAGAGGCCGGGAAGGGCTGCTGGGTACAGGGCTGCAGGCCCGGGAGTCAGTCCTGCGTCCACCTGGGCTCTCTGGCCTCCTCCTCCTCCTGCCTTGCCCTTGCTGTGGTCCCTCCTGGTTCCCTTCTGTCCTCCCTGGCTCACACAGTCACGGAACCAACATTCAGAGAGGCCTGCAAAGTTCCCAGAGCTAAGGGGCCTGGCTTTGCAGGAGGCAGTGAAACACGATTTCAAGCTCGAGGTTCCAAACGGCTGGAAATCTCAGCTTTGTCCGCCTCTGACCTTGGCCTCTCCACCCCCAGGCCCAGGTCTAATCCACCTTTCAATCCCACCCATTCTTATATCTGACCCTCTCTACCAGCGCCCTCATCTAATATAAACGCATAGAATCAGGGAACGACAAACAAGCCCGCGCTGGCTGAATCTCTTCCTTCTTCTAGTGCACAAGGCTCCCGAATGGTCGCTACTATTCCCAAGTGTTTGTTCAATGAGCATCTGAGGGAGGGAAGGAGCCAGAGACCTCTGTCCTCATCTGGGGACCCAACCTCCGCCCCTAGACCTGATTATACCCCAAGATCCCATGGCATCCAGGATAAAGTCTGTGCTTGGGGACCCGGCAAGGGCGGCCCCTTACTCACTCCGACAGGAACTCGAACCAGGTGAGGCTGGAGTGGGGCGCTCCGGGGCTGGTGGCCAGGTGAGCCCTTTGCCGCGCCCTGCGGGTCGGATGGACAGGCGCGCGGGTCGGAGGCCGGCTCTGGCGCTCACTGTCCGCCTTGGGTGCGGACTGCAGTCCAGGACCACG